GGGAGTAGGCCCCACGCAGGGTCACAGGCAGGCTGGCCTGTGTGCTACCATGGGTACCTTGGGCTGCCAGCCCTACAGTTGTGCTTTGTGCTCTTAGCTGCTGTGCTGAGATGGGGTGCCAGTGAGAAGTGAAGCCACCTCCCTTACTATCGAAGGAATACTGAAGACAAAGGGCCAGTGTTCTGTTGGAGGCAGGAAGGAGATGCTCTAGAAAGCTGCTGGGTCAGGTTCTCTGTCCTGATGGACTTTCTCTCCTTTTGTCTGTCTCCAGGTCTGGAGGCCTGGTAGGGCTGAGCAAGAGCTGGCTTTGGGAGTGTTGTGAAGAAGTAGGAGCAGAGATCATGAATAGCTCAGGGCAGGGAACGGGTGCTCTGAGAGCAGGGCTGTGGGGGAGGCTTTGGCCAGGGCTGCCTTAGCCTTTCCTCTCAGGCTGGAAGCATGGTGGGACTGGGGGATGGATCTCCATTCTGCCCTCCCCACTCCAATGCTGGCCTCACTTCTAGGGCTATGCTTGGAGAAGCAGACTTCCTGCTTCCCTCTTTGAAGACAGCATGTTTTGGGAAAACATGAGGGCAGTGGGGTCACCCCACCCCCAATTCTTGGCAGAGACTGAGACGCAAGCATCACTTAATAAAGACCCCCAAGCTCATTTGTCTGCTGTACTCTCTGCAGGAGCCTTGCCGGGATGTAGAGGCTGCTGAAGGGCACTTCCAAAAGGCCACTTTGAAGTGGACTGGATGGCGCAAATGGACAATGGGCGTGAAAGCCCTGGAGATGACTGTGCAATTCCTTTTTTTTTTTTTTCTCGGTCTTGAGGCTTGAACTCTGGGCTTGGGCACTGCCCCTCAGCTCTTCAGCTCAAGGGGAGCACTCTACCGCTTGAGCCACAGTGCCACTTCTGGTTTTCTGGTGGTTAATTGGAGATAAGACTCTCACGGACTTTCCTGCCCAGGCAGGCTTTGAATGGTGATCCTTAGATCTCAGCCTCCTAGTAGCTAGGATTACAGGCATGAGCCACCAGTGCCCGGCTGATTTCGCAAATTTTTTTGTTTTTGTCAGTCATGGGGCTTAAACTCGGCCTGGGTGCTATACTTGAGCTCTTCAGCTCAAAGATAGTGCTCTACCACTTTGAGCCACAGCGCCACTTCCAGTTTTCTGGTCATTAATTGGACATAAGAGTCTCATACATAGACTTTCCTGCCCTGGCTGACCAGTAATTGCAATCATCGGATCTCAGCCTCCTGAGTAGCTAGGATTGCAGGCATGAGGCACGGGCACCTGGCGCAATTTGTATTTTTTTTTTTTTAATGGAGAAATGGTTCTTCATTACTGGGGCTTGAACACAAGACGTTGCACATGCCAGTTAAGTATCCTGACCAACATCCCTTGTTGCTTTTGAGACAGGGTTAAGCTGTATTATGCAACCCTGTGTCAACATCAGACCTGCCACGGTGCCTTCCTAAGGGTGGTGACCCGAAATAGTTTATAAAACAGTGTGGTTTGGAGATGGTTTGTCCCTTGTCCTCAAGACTGTGAATTAAAGGGAATGGAAAGAACTTCCCTGTTCATGGATTGGTAGAATCAATATTGTGAACATGGCCGTTCTGCCAAAAATGATATACAAATTCAATGCAATCCTCATCAAAATCCAATGATTTTCTTTACTGAGAAAAAAAAATCTAGAAATTCATATGGAACAATAAAAGACCTAGAATAACCATAGCAATTCTAGGCAAAAGCAATACGTGTGGTATCATACCACCAGATTTCAAACTACTACAGAGCCACAATAACAAAAACAGCATGGTATTGGGACAAAAATAGACCTGAAGATCCGTGAAACAGATTGGAAGGCCCAGAAATACCACATACTTAATCTGATATTTGGGGCTGGGAAGGTGGCTCAGTGGTAGAGCACGTGCCTTGCATGCTCGAAGCCCTGGGTTCGATTCCTCAGCACCACATAAGCAAAAAGAAAAAAGCCGGAAGTGGTGCTGTGGCTCAAGTGGTAGAGCGCAAGCCTTGAGCTGAAGAGCTGAGGGACAGCGCCCAGGCCCAGAGTTCAGGCCCCATGACTGAACCCAAAAAACAAAAAAATAATTAATCTGATATTTAACAAAGGAGCTAAAATGGAAAAAAAAAAAAACCCAGCTTTTTCAACAATTGGTGTTGGGAAAACTGGACAGCCATATGCAGAAAACTGAAAGTGGATCCCTGGCTTGTCACAATGCACTAATATCAATTCAAAGTGGAGGAAAGACCTCAACATCAGACCCGAAACTCAAACTACTGCAAGAGAGAGGGGAGACATTAGAACTTCTAGGTATAGGCAGGATCCTCCTGAATAGAGTCCCAGGGATACAACAGATAGGAGAGAGACAAGTGGAACTACATTGTTTCTGCACAGCTAAGGACATAATTACTAAATTAGCCAACCAATCGAGAAAAGATAAAGGCCTAATATCCAGTATATACAAGGAGCTCAAGAGACCCCTTCCAAACAATGCCAGTTACTAAATGGCCAAGGGAGCCAAGAAGAGACTTCTCAGAAGAAGAGGTAATGGCAAAGAAATACATGAAATGCTTTATCGTTGCTGGCCATAAAGGAAATGCAAATCAAAACCGCCCTGAGATATCTTACCGTAGTTAGAGTGGCCAGAATTTTAAACAACTGTGTGGGGCAAAAAAGCCCTACTGGATGTAAACTAGTACAACCACTCTGGAAAGCAGTCTGGAGGTTCCTTAAAAAAGTAAACATGGGCCTTCCCTGCAACCTTGCTATACCACATCTCAGGATGGTAAGAACACCTGCATACGCATGTTCATTGCCACACTACTCATAATAGCCAAGATATGGAAGCAACCCAGATGTATAGTTCAATTTCCTTGTCCCTCCATTTCTGTGCTGCTTATACTCCCAAAGACATAAACAGAACAACAACTAAAACAGCCAAAGAAAAAACTTACTTTCCATTTCCTGGAGTTCATTTTGATAAATATTTTTTAATGATCTAGACACAAAAGCATTGTGCCTTTCTGTTCCTTTGTTAAGAGTATCCTCCTGGGCTGGGAAGGTAGCTCAGTGGTAGAGTGCTTGCCTTGCGTGCATGAGGCCCTGGGTTTGATTCCTCAGCACCACATAAGCAGAAAAGGCTGGAAGTGGTGTTGTGGCACAAGTGGTAGAGGGCTAGCCTTGAGCTGAAGAGCTGAGGGATGGTACCCTGGCCCAGAGTTCAGGCCCCACGACTGACCAAAAAAAAAGGGGGGGGGGCTGGGAAGGTGGCTCAGTGGTAGAGCGCTTGCCTTGCATGCAGGAGGCCCTGGGTTCGATTCCTCAGCACCACATAAGCAAAAAGAAAGTGGTGCTGTAGGTCAAGTGGTAGAGCGCTAGCCTTGAGCTGAAGAGCTGAGGGACAGCGCCCAGGCCCAGAGTTCAGGCCCCATGACTGGACCCAAAAAAAAAATGCTGGGCGCCGGTGGCTCATGCCTGTAATCCTAGCTACTCGGGAGGCTGAGATCTGAGGATTGTGGTTCAAAGCCAGCCAGGGCAGGAAACTCCGTGAGACTCTTATCTCCAATAAACCACTAGAAAACCAGAAGTGGCACTGTGGCTCAAGTGGTCGAGCGCTCACCTTGAGCTGAAGAGTGCAGGGACAGCGTCCAGGCCCAAAGTTTAAGCCCCACGACCAACAACAACATTGTGTGAGAATACCTAGAAGTACTGGTCCTTTCACAAGGGTTTTTCTTCAAGTTAATGTCTGAGGGTAGGTCAGCCTTCTACAGTTTCTGGATGAGCTGGCATTTACCAATGATAACTTGGTCCTGCCTAAGCAGAGCAGGGTGACATAGTTTTGAATATGTCAGTATTAAGATTTGTGGTTTAGTAGTAGCCTCGCATGTATGATGGGTTTGATTCCTCAGTACCACATACGCAGAAAAAGCCAGAATGGTGCTGTGGTTCAAGTGGTAGAGTGCTAGCCTTGAGCAAAAGCAGCTCAGGGACAGTGCCCAGTCTCTGAGTTCAAACCCCAGGACTGGCACAAAGGAAAAAAGATGAAGATAAAACAGCCTGAACTCCTAGGAAAACCTGAAATTGAGTGGTTGAGTGCACAGCTCTGAGGGGATTAGGCACTGTAGAACCAGAGCTGCATCCTGGTTTGACCCCCAACCCTATTCTAGGCAGTCTAAGCACAGTGAGGTTGGGACAAGTGGGCGGGACTGGCTGTGTGCAGGCTGAGTGAGCTGACTGCTAATAGGGCTGGGCCACCCTGTGCTGCTCCCTGGAGGCTGGACAAAGCTAGGATTGTTCCCTGGCTCCTTTTTGTCCCTACTCCCTGCCCAGGCCTGGCCCGCCTCCCCAGCCACTCTTTTCCCTGTCAGCCTGGCTGCCAAGAGCCAAGGACCGCATCTGCTGACCCACCTTGGGAGACCTATTGCACACTTGGGTAAGGAAGCTCACTAAGGTTCTGACACCTCTTTTGGGGAAACTGAAGTAGCTGCTTCAGCTCCTTGTTTCTATGACAATTGCACACATCTCATTGCACTTTAGGAGTTTCCAAACCCTACTGTTGAGTGTAGGGATCCCGAGGGGAGATGAACTCCAGCATCCTCTAGCTGCCTCCCCACCCTCCCACAATTTGGCAGAGTGCTCAGGCCAGATCTACCCACCCATTGTTGGAGGGTTAAGGGATTCTCTGGGAGGCTTGTCTGTCCTCTAGGGATATAAGGTAGAGACGAGGTTTATCTTGTTCCTAGCAGGGTCCTGAGCACTGACCTCAGTGGCAGAGAATCTAGGAACCCACAAGCAGTGTGAGGTCGAGTATGAGCTGCCCAGACATATGGACCATAAGCCTCACTAACAACAGGAAGGAGGCAGGGCCAACCATGGAGTTGCTGGAAAGTTTTAGCCTAGGGAAGGTCGGGGGAGTGTCCTGTTGTCCCTCCTCTTGGGCAGTGCCGTCCCTGATGGCCCAGCCCCTCTACTGGTGCCAAGGAATGTGCTGGGAGAAGCAGCCAGAGAAGCGGGCGGGGCAGCCGAGTGAAGGCCACCCGGAGGCAGCACCCACAGGTCTGGGCTGAGGGTCAGGGGACTCAGGTGGGATAGGACTCAGCACACCAAGGGCACAAGTATGATTCCCTGAGAGAAACCAGATGCCCCACCCCAATTCCTTGTCCTCCTGGCAGACATCCTGCTTCTTCAGGAATCTTGCCCCAGGGCATGGGTTTTCTGTGCTCAGCACAGGGAACTACAGGAGTCAGGGCTCTTCCTGAGGCCAAAAGCAGGAAGACTGGCTCTAGGGACTGAGAGACCCCTGGCCCCAAACCAGTCTGAGGCTGAGAGCCTCCTTAGTGGGGAACCAAACAACCAGAGGATGGGATGGGGTTGGGGGTTGCTGATATGCTGGCCTGGGAAGCAGGATCAGCATCCCCTGGTTTGAACGCAGTCCTCTCGAGCTCAGTGATCAAGGCCAGGCTAAACCTGGGTAGGGAAGGGTTTATGTCGTGGGGGTGGGGAGTCTTTTATCCTTCCCTACTCTGCCTTCAGGTCAATGTGGAGGTGTTGCCGTGTCTGCGCCGCCATGCTTAGTCTCAAGCTGCCGCAACTCCTTCAAGTCCACCAAGTCCCCCGGGTGAGGGCCTTAACGGGCCAACTCCTACCCCCAGGGCACAGACGGGGGCACAAGTTCTTCTCCCTTAACTATTGGGGAGCCCCTCCTGCAAGATAACTCTTCCTCCATGGGAGACTTCCTCTGTTCTCTGAGGCACAAACTGCCATTTCTGCCTTCAACCAGAGTCCTCCTCCCTGTGTGCCCTCCTCAATCCTATCTTGTCCCTTGACTCTTCTTTTTCTTATATGCTCTGTGGGCATTAGGACCTGTGGTTAGAGAGAAATTGGATTGTGTGTGGCTTGGGGCCAGCGTGCGCCTCATCGTATCTTCAGCCCTGTAGGGGCCCAGTAACACCCCCTCTTCCTTCCTGCCACTGCTACTTTCCCAGGTGTTCTGGGAAGATGGCATAATGTCTGGCTACCGTCGCCCCACCAGCTCAGCCTTGGACTGTGTCCTCAGCATCTTCCAGATGACCAACGAGACAGTCAACATCTGGACTCACTTCCTGCCCACCTGGTGAGAAGCCGCGGCCTCAGGTGCATAGGGGTTCGGCCAGGCCCGGCCCTGCCTGCCCTCGGGTGCGGGGTCGCGGCCTGAGCACATGCCCGCGGCAGGTACTTCCTGTGGCGGCTCCTGGCGCTGGCAGGGATCCCGGGCTTCTGCGCGGAGCCGTACCACTGGCCGCTGCTGGTCTTCCTGCTGCCTGCCTGCCTGTACCCCTTCGCGTCGTGCTGCGCGCACACCTTCAGCTCCATGTCGCCCCGCGCGCGACACATCTGCTACTTTCTGGATTACGGCGCGCTCAGCCTCTACAGCCTGGGTGAGCCGGACAGCGGCGGGCGGGCGGCGGGCGGCGGCGGGTTTGATTTCTGAGCCCTATAAAAGCCCATCCTCCGGTGGCTGTGACAATGTGGTCGTAAACCCGTCCCGGGAAG